AAACCAATAAGACCCTTGTTGAAGAAGAAATAGGAAAACTGGAAAGGTGGAAGAACTTGATAATGAAGTTGTTAATGCGTCAACAATGTGTCGAAATATCAAGAACAAAAATATGATGGAAGAAGCGAAGTAGTGACTCGTAAAGTGTTTTTACGTGAAGACTTATAATTACATTAAGTTTTTTATTTGGTTAAACAATTTTTATTCAATGATAACTGTAAAACTATTTATAATTAACAAATTTTATTAAAAAGTGTAGTTTTTACAGTTTTATATTTTTTGAATTTATTTTGGTTATTTTTGGTTATTTTTGTTTTGAAACAATACAAAACAATTATACAATAATCCTATATTATTTTAAAACAAAATACAATAATTATGAAACAACTTTTTGTTTTGGAACAATAAATTATTGATTTGAGGATAAATAAATAGTTCTGAAACACCCGATATTTATATGCAACAATAATGCCAATTATGCAACGATCACGCAAATTGTGCAATAAAAAATAATTATTTTGAAACAGGGCTGAACAAAGGTACAAATCTAATTGTTATGAAACAGAAATCTATTTGTTATGAAAAATAAGGAATTGTTGTGAAACTAACTGTATATAAATTTATTTATAGTCAAAATTGTGGGTATAAATTATGCTTAAATTTGTCAAGAAAAATGTTAATTATATAATCCCTTTATTTTTAAATAAAATTCATATTTTATTTATTAAATTTTTTTGTGATTATTTAAAATGTATAAGTTATTTTACTATTTTGATAGTATAATTATTATAATAATTAATATAAAAAAATCTTTTTGTTGTATGGAAAAAATCACTTTCTGGTTTATTTTACTATATCAAAAAAAGTGTTAGATTTTGGATATAATGTAAATTACAGATAGCGGAATTAACAGGGACCACAGTAAAAACCAGGGACCAGACTAATTAAAGCTATTGAATATTAAGCGGATTTTATACAATAAAACGGGCAAATATATAAATAAATGTGTAATTTTCTTATTATTTGGTCTTAAAAACGGTTGTTTTTCGGGATAAAAAAAATGAACGTGTTGTATAAAGTATGAATGAACAACAACTTAATGTGAGCTATAATAGTAAGTTTATTATTATTAATTTTTGTTTAATTATAAAATATTATTCTTTTGTTCAACCTTGTTTAACTTCAACACAACCATTCAATTAAATCGTTCATTCATTTTTTTCAAAGAAGATGTCGTAGTCTTCTCTATTCATTCGGTTGATTTGATGAGTCACTTTTCGTTCAGCATTAAAAGTGACTCAGGCAATAAATGAAAATAAAGAAAATAGTAAATAAATTATTAGAATGTTAGACATTCAGTAAATGATTGATAACTTTTAAAAGTATTCAACAACGGAAGATAAATCAATATAAAGAACAAACTTTTCCTTGGCTCGGCTAAGCATTAACAAACTCTGAATGATAATTTAAGAATTTCATTTTTTTAGTTTTTTCTATTTTATTTAAAAAACGGTGTGTTTATTAATAGTTGGTCCCTGGTTTTTCCTGTATCTGTATTAAAATAAATATTAATCAATATAAAATGAATTATAAATATGTTTAATATATCCAAAGTTTTAGTTATATAAAATCTTGCATAAAATACACTTTTTTTATTTTTTTGAGTTTATATTTAATTATTTAATCATAGTATTTTACATTTTAAAAAACAAATGTACAATTATAAATAGTAACATTTTTAATAATATTCAATTATAGTTTTGTTAAATATGTAGTATTATATTATTATATTATATTAACCAATACAAAAATAAAAATAGTGTTAATAATATATTATTTGATAATATAATATATATATATATATATTTATAATATAATATATTATAGTTATGATTAAATGATTCAAACAATCATTGTAAAATAATACATTTAATTATTGATCAAATATTTAGGTCGTTATTGTTATAATTGTCATCTTTTTAAAACTTTTAAACAAAATTTCATTATTTTTAATTGTTACCTTTTTGTTCAAAAATAATAGTTTGTCGACTGCTATTTGAAAAATAAATAACAAAACTTTAAGTTTAACAAACTGATTTAAATAAAATAAGTTGTTTTAATTAAATATCGTTTTTAATTGTATGTTTTTTAAAAAAAGACAACAACTAAAATCAATATACAAGGATTTAAAAACTTTTTTGTATGTTGTTGTTTCGGTAACATATAAATTAAATCCGTTAATATTTATTAAAAGAAAAAAGGGTTAAATTTTTCCCAAATTCGTAATTTTTTTGGAAATAATTTAAATAAATAAGTACAATAAAATCAAAGTATGAGTGATACATTTGAAATGAATAACACGAATCGCGTTATTTTAATCAAAGATTAAAATTTTATCATTAATATTTAAGATAAATAAAAAAATTTAGGAAAAAATATAATTTTACAGGAATATAATAAATGATTATAAGTTTAAGTTATTGAGAGCAGAAATCTAATATATAAGCAAGAATTAAAAAACAAAATCAAATTGAATACAACAAGTAACACAACACATGTTGTGTGAAATTTGGGAATTTATTTTACATGTTTCGCGGGTAAAAAACTGAAATGGGTGACTTCAAGTTGAATGTCAACCAATTGAATCAAATAAGACAAACACGAGTATCGTGACGTCAATGAAATACAATACATAAACAGTTTGAAAATTGTATTTAAAACGTATTGGACTTTCCTGTTATATGAAAACGATTAAAATCGCTCAATTGAGAAGGGTTACTTGAAGTAACTGTTACTAATTTCGTCTTGAGTCGTTGAATGACAAACGCACTTTTTGTTCGGAAATGAAAATTTGA